ATTTGAAGTTTATTAATTCAGTTTGCAGCTTATAATGTTTGATTATATTGAATTAAGTGAAGGGATAAGATGAATTCTGTTTTGTCTTGTACAAAAAAAATACATTTCAAATTTTCACTTTATTTAATATTTCCTCTTTTTTTCAGTTTGCACTTTATTAGTTTTCTAGTTTGCAGTTTATTGGTATTTCAGTTTGTAATTTTATTGATTTAAGTTTCAGTTTATTTAATCAAGGCTGTGTTGTTGTTCATTTTATAATATGTAATATTATTGACTTGGTACCTTTAATTATTTATAGTGTCGAATGCAAAGGGGAAGTTCCGAATGTGGTTACTATGTGATGCGGCACATGTCAACTATTATTTCTGCTAGTGTTGTGGATTCATGGATGGAGGTGATTAAATATAAGATCATTGTATTTTTGTGTTTATTTCTTCTACTTAATTATTATTTACTCGCTTATTGCTTTTATTCAACTTGTAGACATTCAACGTTCAAGATCCGTTTACTGAAGAAGATATCAACGAGATTCGAGAGCGTTGGGCTTGGTTTTTCTGCGAAGTGACTAGTATTTAGCATTTAGTAGAAAATATTATTAACATATTTAAAACCGAAATGCAGCTTTGTTAGCAACTTTTTTGAATTTTGATGGTGTAAAATGATATTGTGATCAAATTTCCTGAGCATGATTAATACTAAATTGAAATTATATGCGTAGTATGATTTTTGTATGTTGTGGTTGTTTGTGAATGACATTGAATGATCATTTTGTAATCATAAATATGTATTAGATATATATCAGGGTGAAACCTCATTCAATAACGGTTAAAATTGAACTGATCTCGATATTCCATAACGGTTAGGTTTCGCAACCCATATGAAATATCCGTTACTAAGATGCCGCGTGCAGAACACATTCCATAACGGTTCTGCCACACCCGATGTTGAAAGCATTTTATAACGGTTGTCGTACCCGTTATAAAATAAGTCCGAGTTTCTATAACTACGGAATCAATGTCGGCTCCCGAACCGTTATAAAATGTCATTTTTAACCGTTATAAAATGTGTTTTTTCCACTAGTGACACTTACACCACAATGCTACTGAAACAAAAAACATGTTCACGCCTGTTACTGCTCACACATGTTTTAGCTGTGAAAGTACGATCCTCAGCTTGGGCTGCTTCCACGGTATAACAACTGGTTTATGCGATTAATATTGAATTGATAAAATAAGCAAAAAAAGAATGATTTAGTACAACGTACACAAATTTTATCAAATTTGGTATGAGACAATCTTACATAGCGGGACGGTGCGAAAAAGACTGATGAAACAATCCTATCAAGACAGAGAGAGTATAAACAACAATAGGAATTTGAATAACAATTGTAATACTAATAAAAGTAATATTTCCACTTTTCTTTTTAGGTTGTCCCAAAAATATGAACACTTTCTTAAGTTAGACTCCGTTAACTTTTTACTTTCCTTTTTTGAAAGACGTTTGACTTTTTACTTTCTTAAATATTAACTTTTTACTTTGTTTAAAAAAAAACTTTTTACTTTCACACTTTATCCTTTTATCTACCATTTCACCATTTAGTTTTTGTGAATCCATGTTTCTCTTTCTTACTTTTTGAAAGATAGAATTGTAAAACACTCATTTTATCATTTTTTTCTGAACGAAACTAGCTTAACTTATATTAACAGAACAAAAGCAGGTTACAAAGCGACAACAAGTCTTCTGTCTACCGCCCGCCCTAGAACCAGACTTTGAATTAATCACCTCCGTAGAAGCAATATAATTCACAGATCCCGCTTTGGACTTAACTGAGCCAATGACTTGTAGACTAGACTCCTCGTCTCCTGTCCTAAGTTCTAATGTTTTTTGCTGGAAAAACGCAGCACATCCAAAACAAAGTACAAATCCAAAGCATGAAAAATAAAAAACAGAGTGCAAGCGAAATAAAAGTATCTTTCAGCTAGAATAGTTGCCCACAGTCTCAAAAGCTCTGGAGGGTCTGGATCACAGCACCCGCCCCTATCACGTTTTTTGTTGTTTCAAGAGACATAGTTTCCCCCACTTCATCACTCTGCTCCTGCACCTCCCATGTACGTCTTCTCTTTGGCTCTCCTGGTCCTCCTCCCACCTGAGTCTCACCTGGTTTGGTAGAAACCACCACCCGACTTTGGTTGCTCTCCCCTACCTCATCATGATCCTTCTCCTGGGTTGACACATCCATGTGAACCTTGTTGTTACCACCTGTTGAGGAGCTTCATTCTGACACCAGCCACTTGCTTCCCGTTGATGGTGTGTTCTTCCTGCCTCCCGCCCATAGCCACGGGCCAAACGACTTTGTCACTCCTTGGCCACCTTTTTCATATAGTATAGGCCACAAACAAAGCAGAAACTCGGGAGCTTTTCATATTTGAAATCTACCCAATATCCCTCCCATTTGCTCTTCCTAATGGTAGTTCCTTCAATGGTTGACCTACATTCATGAGAACCTTAACCCTCATGTAAGCTTCCCATTTTTTCGTCAAACTGATTATCATCCCACTTGACAAATTCACCCAGATAGTTCCATATTTTCCTAGCAGTTCCAAGATTATCATAACTATACGGTACATTATGTACCTGTACCCAGAGCTCAACCGAGTCTAAGGGAACCTTAATCGGGATATCCCCCAGCTTAATGGCCCTTAAGACAAACAAGTTCTGATCAAATAGCCAAGGACCATTGTCTAGTACACGATTCATATCAACCAAGTGAAAGAATTTGAACACATACCTCTTTTCTCCAGTCTCCTTTGTCGAGACGCCTTTGCCCGGGCGCCATAATGCTACCATTAAGTCCTCGAAGATCTGAAAACGAACCACTTTGTCTGTAAGAATCGTTCCTACCACCAGAAATTCCTCCGGTCGCTCGTCCCCTACAACCGCAGGCCCTTCCTCTTTGTCATCAATCCCCAAGTCACCCGAATCTGCACCAAATCCCATGCCGCTGTAGTTCACTGACAGGCTGTCAACCAGCCCTTCCTCCTCATTGACCCGATTGCGATCATCCTTGCTCGTGACCTGGTCTTCGCTATCCATGTAGCTTCGCACCACGATGCCGCTTCGCGTGAGATGCTGCCTTGTTTGCAAAACCTCACTGCTTTGCCTAAGATTTTGCCGCTCTGCTTGCACGACCTCACCGCTTTGCCTGAGATGTTGCCGCCTTGCTTCAAACCCTCGCCGCCGCACCGAAGTCGGCAGAAAAGTCAAGCCCTAATCAAGGGAGAGACCGCCTAACATCAATTACTCAATTTTGTTTTTTATCATTTATTTTTTAAAAAACCGCACAAAATCCAATTCATCTTACATTATGCGACAAAGTTAGTAAGTAATAAATAACAACAACAATAGTAATAATAACAATAGTAACAATAAAGGAAGCGGTCCAGCTCAGCTGGTCGCCGACTCACTCTTCCTTATGAGAGGTCTCGGGTTCAAAACTCAATGGAGTGAGTTTCAGCCCAGTTTACTCCAGGGCCCCAGACCCCCTCCCCCAGACGCCCCCTGGAGTAAAAATAATAATAATAACAATAACGACGACAACAACAACAACAACAATAGTGATAATAATAAATGTAATCAATCATGTCTTCACCTTTTTTATCTGATTTGATCTGACTATTTATGTTCTGGTTTGATATTTATTATTTGATTATTTGAATTTTTCTAAACTAGACTTTTTTTATCTAATCCCATTTGATCTAAATAAAATAAGAACAAACAATAACTAATACTCCCCTTATATTCTTTTTGCTACAGTTTTCGAGTTAAAAAATATTTAATTACTCTTATTTTCTACTTTGTACTTCTTATCATTTCTTTCATAATTATCCAATATATTTCCTTCTTTTTTCTACACCTAGCCATTACTTCTACAACTTTTCTTTTAAGTAGTGTGTTAAACTTTATTGTAGCAAACAAAACATGTGGAACGATATTAAGAATTTAAGACCAGGGGTGAGCATAACGGTTTGGCTTAACCGAACCATACCAAACATGTCTAAACCGAAACCGGACCGTATGCAATTTGGTTTGAGGTTGGTAGTTTTTCTTCCAAACCGTAATAAACCGAACCAACCCGAAACCGATAAAAATCGAACAAAAACCGAACCGAACTAAAGAAATTCTAGAAATCCTTCATATTTTATTAAAAAATAACAAATTCAAACCGAACGAAACCGAACTAAACCGAATCGAACCAAACCAAAAAGTAGTATGATTTTTGTATGGTAATAATTCTCCCAACCTGTTCCAAACTGAACCGAACCGAAACCGATAACAACCGAACCGAAAATCGATATGCACGACCCTAATTAAGGGTCTGTTTGCAACCCATTAAAAAAAGTGCTTTTAACTTTTTTTAAAGAAAAAAGCACTTATTTTACCAAACACTACCAACTTTTACTTTCTCGGCTTCTGTGTATAATCTACTTTTTACTTTTTCTATTACACAAAAAGCACTTATTTTACCAAACACTACCAACTTTTACTACTAATCACTTTTTCCCCAAAAGTGCTTTTATTTAAACAGAAGTGGTTGCAAACAAAGCCTAAGACCAACAGAAATTACAGAACTGCTCTTTAGTGAACTTTAGTGAAGGAACAAGGGTCCCAATTCCAAAGAGGACCAATTTGGTGTGATACGTAAATCTGTAGGTTAGCAAATATGAGGGCGATAAACTGTGGGGCAAAAGTGCAAAATTTGGTACTTAAGCTAAATAGTAAATACCCCCTCCTCCCTTCGAGATTGGATCCTGATAAAGGGGCGGAGCTGAATTTAAATTAAACGTTTATACGGAGGACTACCTTGTTTCCGAAGAAATCGAAGCATCTGCGGGATGGAAAGGCTGCAACGGATGTTTGCGGGAGCCGGAGGTGCCTTAGGTCACCCGCCGCCGGATTCTCCTACTCTCGATTCGTCGGAGCAAGTCTACATATCATCCCTCGCTCTTCTTAAGATGCTCAAACATGGTAACCTTGAGCTCCTTCTCAATCTATCTCGAAATTTAGTGGATACATTTGAATTGTGTGGTGTACTCTTTCGGCTGGCAATAAAAGTTAGGGTTTTCGGTTGCCATTGAACAGGGAGAGCTGGCGTTCCTATGGAAGTTATGGGATTAATGTTAGGTGAATTTGTGGATGAGTACACTGTCCGGGTGGTCGATGTGTTTGCTATGCCACAGAGTGGGACTGGAGTGAGTGTCGAAGCCGTTGACCACGTCTTCCAGACCAATATGCTTGATATGCTCAAGCAAACTGGCAGGTTTGTCCTGTCTTTTTCCATCGATTTTTGAAATACTGCATCTATCTTGATTAAAGTTTATAACTCTCTTTCAATTCTAAGATCTCCATCGGGTGATATAGAATTTGATCCAAAATGGACTCATAGTTTCTTTTTTAACCGCATGTACAACCCAATTCCTACATGATTTCAAATAGTAGCATTGAAAATAGCCCTGGAGATTTGCATTGAGTAGGTAGAGTAGAAGCATTGTTTATATCATTTCTTTCTTCAAGATTTAAGGATGGTCAAATATTGATTTAGTATTATTATTGAAAACTACTTATACTTCTTACTTTTGTTACTCTCATTTATAAGGCCCAACATTTCTTTCATCATAGGGGCTATAAATTTCTAGGGATGGTTTTCACAACTTTCATAATAGAAAATGTGTTCTTCCGTATTAGAATATGGTCTGTGCTTGAAGTGTTTTCCCCCTCTTTTCCATGGCATTGGGATTGTTCAGTTGATTATGAATAGAGAGCCAATGTATGTAGTTGTTGCTATAATTAAGTATATAGATAGGGGGGCATTTCGGAACAAGGAGTCATTTAATGGGAATTCACATTTTACGGGTATTGATGACAATATTGATTAGAGATAGCAGTAATTCATTGGCTCCCTTGTATAATGGAAATTAGTATTTGTGCTCTCTTGGGATGCCAGATAACCATATTTTTCATGCAGAGTACTCTTTGAGAGTGTGAGGGAATTGTTCTTTTTATATCTGGGAGTGGTTCCCTTGTCACTTATTGGCTGTTAAATTTCTTGCTTGGTAATCTTTTGCTACTTAATTGGTTTGAATCTTTATTACGGTCTTACAGGCCAGAGATGGTTGTCGGTTGGTATCATTCACATCCTGGTTTCGGTTGTTGGCTTTCGGGTGTGGACATTAATACTCAGCAGGTACCTGCCTTTATATCTACTATTTTCTCTGATCAGGGATACAGAATAGGGATAGTTTTGTAATTAAAGAGACATGTATGATGAAATTAAATACAATGAACACAGTGTGCCTTTTAAGTGATAATAATATGAAGCGACCATGGTGATATTTTCATAATGAATGAAGTGACCGTGGTGATGTTCTGCAGACTGCAGTGACTATATCACAATGATAGTGAAAATGTAGTCATATTTTTGTGTATGAGTTGTATTTGTACTATCATAGCAAAACATATCGTTTTGTTATAGAATACATAATTAAGTGAATTATACCAAATGTCAGGATAATTATTTAGTTTGCCCAGTCGTTTGCAATTGAGGATTTGTCATTGAATATATGTGGTAGTAAGCTTTTTTACTTTTTCTATAATAATGTTACAATAATCAGAGTTTTGAAGCACTGAATCAAAGAGCAGTTGCTGTGGTGGTGGATCCCATACAGAGTGTGAAAGGGAAGGTGGTGATTGATGCTTTCCGGTTAATAAATCCCCAAACAATGATGCTCGGACAAGAGCCACGTCAAACGACATCTAACTTAGGACATCTAAACAAACCCTCTATCCAAGTGAGTGCTATTTATATACATACACACAATAATACATATTGTCACTTTGAAGGCTTTTCTGGAATAAAATGTGGTGATTTGTATGTTAATAATATGATGATGGGTGATATGTCATGCAGGCCTTGATCCATGGTCTTAACCGGCACTACTACTCCATAGCAATCAATTACAGAAAGAATGAACTTGAAGAGAAGATGCTTCTGAATCTTCACAAGAAGAAATGGACAGATGGGTTGACCCTCCAGCGATTTGATGCCCACTCCAAAACCAATGAGGAAACAGTCCAGGTAAAGTTTGGTTTGCTTAAAGAAGTATGAGATAGATTTTTTTAGGGAAATCTTTGGAGCCCAGAGAATGCCAGGAGAAATAAAATGACCAAGGGGAACTATTTTCTTGTATTCTGTTTTACTTGGGCATATGCAAAGGAAAATGAAATACTACGTATGGTTTCTATTTTTGTAAATTAAATATCCCTAGAAATCTTAGTCTTTGTTTAACGGGAAGAAATAAAATAAACAAAAGAACAAATAAAAAAAATAAACATATTGAGTTTGAAAGAAATGTTCTATTTTGCCCGATGTTTTCATTCCTTGCAAATTTCCCATGTATCTTCATCCCTTTTTCTTTTCCTTACCATTTCCGGGTTCCAAACAGACACTTCATGTTTTTCGATTGAATAAAGGTGCTCATGTTTACCTGATAATACTATAAATTCCTGCAAAAGAGCGTGGTCGCACTTTTTAAAGCCAGTTGCACTCCCTATTGTTGTGCAACCAACCTTCTATAGGAACAGTAATATTGAGTTAACCTTCAAAACCCTTATAGAACAAAGTTACGGAGTATAAACCTAACATGTGTCCCATACTTTTGATGATGATCATCCCCCTTCTCTTGCGTGCAGGAAATGCTAAATCTAGCAGTCAAATATAATAAAGCAGTGCAGGAAGAGGACGAGTTACCACCTGAGAAGTTGGCCATTGCAAATGTAGGAAGGCAAGACGCCAAGAAGCATCTAGAAGAGCACGTCTCGAACTTGATGTCTTCGAATATTGTTCAGACGCTGGGAACCATGCTCGACACTGTTGTCTTTTGAAGTTCTAAGCTATAAAACTCTGCACTGTTATCTTTTCAGATTGTGAAACCCAAAAGTTTGCCTTCTCATGTTATCGTGACATTCAAGTAATCCAAGAGAGAATTTGTACTACTATTGTTACTACTTTTAGGGTATGTTTGGTTTGGGGTAATCTCACATGAAGGCCGGAATGTGATGCACGGAATGTCAGATGGTCGGATACCCATGTTTGGTTCACGGGTTTGAGAAAAATCGGAAAAGTTACATTCCCGGGAATGTAATATGGAAGGGAATCTTATAATCCCTCATGTCTTAGGTTATCTTACATTCCCGATGATGGTCTAATTTTCTTCCAAAAATACCCTCAATTAATTATCTCTTTTCATTTAATTTCTTTATATAATGCGATTTATAAAACTTTTAATGTAGTTTCTAAATATGTAAATTATACTATTGTATTTACTAAAAAATAATCTTATTATTGAAAGAGATTAATTTATTTTATGGTCAGTCGATCGTAGATTGTGTGGCAACCATTTAAGTAGGACAGATGGAGTATGTTTATTTAATTATATTCGAATGTCTATTCTTGTTATTTTCATAATTCTTTTTTCCTTAACATTTAAATTTATTAAGGTATATATTTTATAATACTTATAAATTATTTAAGTTTTTAATGAGTGGATTTCAAAATTTAATGGCAAAATTGATCATTTTTTTTAATTTGAAAAGAGGTTTTATGAATAACTTGAACATTTTTTAAATTTATTTTTTTGAAATAATAATAAATATATTTAGATTGAACAAAGTTTTTTTCTTTTTTGAATTGGATCTACAATTTTTTACAATTAAATATAGTTTACTTAAAAATAATTCAATTAGGTTTGATTTTATTTATTATTAAGATATTTCATTTTTTCTTTAATTTTATTTACTTTAGATGTAGGTTATAATAGATTTATTGTGTTAAGATAAAATATTGTAAGGGCATTGAAGCAATTGGATATATTCCCATCAATCTAACATACCCACCAATCTGACATTCACATGGTAATCTGACTTTCCCTGAGCCCGTACCTTAGAGCTATTGTTTGCCTGCATATTTTTTCTTTGTTGCGTATGATCCTTTAATGCGTTTCTCTTATTGTGTTCAACACTAAATATTGGAGTACGTTTACAGCGCTTTTGCCCTCGATATATGGTTGATGAATCATTTGAGACGAAACATGTGTGCTAACTTCCATGTCGGTCCAACGGGTAAAGAACTATTCTACTTAGGGATGGACTGGGACGGGACGACCCGACCCGGCACTGTGGAGTCCCGGCCCGGCCTTGTTGATCGGGACCAGGACCAGTCCCAGGGCTTGACCTGAGTTTCAAATTCTATAAATGAACCAGACCAGGAATGACCTGGAGTACAATATAAAGTGCCCCAAAATGAATATGATATTTGAAACTATAATTGTTTGTCACTGGTGTATTATTAATTATTACTACGTAATTTATATTAGCTGAGAACATGTCAACTTTTGTACAAGTAAATTTAGTAATAAGCAAAATAAGCACCTAACGAATTCCCTCTGATCGAAGTGAGGTCGTGAGGATTGGCAATTAAATATACGAAATAATATTAGCAGAAAAGAGTAAAAATTAGTGGCTATATCGCCGTACTTTGTTATGAATTTCATGTATTACGGAGTATATTTTATAACAGTAAAAATGGATTTATTCACTTTTAGATGTAAATATCCACCTCACTCAGCGGATTCGTATACTATACCACCGGTTGTACGGTGAGCACGGTACAGCCGGCCCAACAAGGAAAAGTAACAGGCCCAAGGAAAAATAGCAAAATAATTCGGTGACATTTTGTGATTAATGTGAAAATCACGTTTTGTGCTAAATGAGCATTAGTGTACTTGTTAATGAGTTATAGTTCAATTTTAATGAGCACCGTGTTAGTACAAGAAAATTGATATCACAACTAAAAAAGGTGGCATTTTCGTAATATCAGTGAAAATCGCGATTTTCGTTAGATGGGCATGGATACACTTTTAATGAGCATCTACTGTATTCTATTGAGCATCTATTGTAATTCACTTTCTTTTTCTTATTTTTTCTTTTATAAAAACTCATTAAATTATATTTATAATCAATTCATGTGAATTTTCAATATGTGAATCTAATGTAATATGATACTTTTGAAATATGCATTGTTATGACATTTTAAAAATGAGAATAACATGAATACCAATTGTACGTATGTAACTTGCAAAATGAGCATAAATATGAAAATAATAAAGTTTGTTAGTTGGACGTCACGACATTTTCATTGAGCATCAAACCTCCTATATTAAGATGAAAATGACGCTTTCTATTAAATGAGCATTAATGAACTTTTAATTAGCACTAGATGTGTTATATTGAGTATTAGGAGTCTAATATTGAACATCGTAATCTCTGCTTCATATCTATAATCAATTCCTATGAATTTCAACATATGAATCTAATATAATATGATACTTTTGAAATATGCGTTGTGTGACATGTTAAAATATAATGAGCATAAAATCGATAATAAATGAGCATACGCAACTTAGAAAATGAGCATACATCAATAATAAATGATGTAATGAGCATTCATTTTAAAATGAGCATACATTTTAAAATATAATGAGCATGACATCAATAATAAATGAGCATACTTAACTTACAAAATGAGCTTTATATAAAAATTGTAAGTTACATTCAACATCAATGCATTTTCATTGAGAACCAAGTCTTCTCTATTGAGTATCAGAAGTAAGCAATTGATTATCGTGGTCTTTGTTCCTTGTAACAAATGAGCATACATAATTTACAAAATGAGTATTTAAAAAAAATCTAAAGCTCATTGGAAATATGTAGTGTGCACAAATATTCATTTATATATGTTCATTTCTATTAAGCGTTATACTCATCAAATTCTACACAAATTTTCATCTTAATCTAAAAATTTTAAGTTCTAACAAAAGCTTGAAGAAATATGGGATGAGAATCCTATCCATTTGGACATTTTGTGGTTGCTGGAGATTAAAGTGAATCACGTTTAGCCATGTGCTTTACCAAAAATCTTATGGAACAATTATTTAGATCCAGAAATACGTCTCTTTCAATCACCGGGTGCACTTGAGCTCTTGAATCTAAAGACGTGGATGGCAATTCGAATAGTCCTTCGTGCTGAAAATTTTGCTTCTACAGAAGAGTTGCGCCTGCTAATCGCCGGTCTCCATAGCACCTGGAGCTGGAAGCGCGCGAGGAAGACGATCGGCACCATACCTGCGCTCAATTTAGAAATTAGGGATTAGAGATGTATTGGAAGGCATAAAGATGTTGAATATTACAAAAAAAAATCGGTTGTACCATACCCTAGATATAGCCAGCTGTAGGATAGAATTTACCTCACTCAGCCTTCTGCTTAATTGTGTGGTTATGAAGTTCTTTTATTAAATCCAAATCTAAATAAGGAAAAAATCAAAATAATTTTTCTTTTTGCTTAATTATATTTTTTATACCACTATTGATATGATTATATGAACACCAATAAATTAGTAGTCCCATCATACAACAATGATGATAATAATTTTTATATTATTATTAAAGTTTTTATATTAAGAATTGTTGGGAATATATGCAGGGACAAACAAGAATAATACTAATAAAAATAATGTTATAAACAAGCATTGTGTTTTGTAAAAATAACAACAACAATAACTGTTTTTTATAATATTATTAAAGTTTGATCTTAATAATAAAATAATACTAATAATAATTACTCGTATATTTTTAACAATAATAATAATGTTTTAAAGGGAAATAATAATGTTATAAACCAGCATTGTATTTTGTATGGGAGCTCCCCCAATACACCCACCCAAGAAGTAAATCGAGAAAGGAGATATGGAGAAAATGATGCTCACCAGATCGTTGCTCCGATGCTTTTACCGAAGATCTCCAATTTTCTCCCCTTACGCTGCCGTTGTCGCCGACGCAGTCAACCACCACACCTTCCGTCACCTTCATTTTAATCCCCCTTCTTTTCCGAAACCTGTTCTTCCCGGTACTCCCCCTCTATAATCTCTGTATATTTGCTTCTCTACATAAGCTCATACATGTGTGAAATCAGATTAGTGTTCGATTTTATCCGTTACGCATATAAGTGATGTAGTTTATGTATTTGCGAATCTGCAGACCTAGCACTCTAGGATGTTAAAAAGTTACTGTTGATTTAAATGAACCATTGCTAATAATTCAGTTGCGAATCTGTAGACCAAGGACTTTAGGATTCTAAAAGTTACTGTTGATTTAGATGAGCCGTTGCTAATAGTTTAGAATAGGGAAGCACTGAATCAAAGATGGAATTTTATTTTCTGTAGGCATTTGTAATGACTTCTCCTCATCTTGCCTCTGCTCTCATGCCCTTTCTTTGTCCATCTGATCATCTTTTGTCTTTGTCTCTTTGCAATTAGGTTAATAATGGATTTGGATTTCAACATTCCATTTCTCAATAGACAGTACTCCATATACGGTAGCTAAAATTCTATTTCTCAATAGACAGTATAGGATATCAGCAGGAACTCGTGTCTCACTCTCATCTAACTGCACCATTCGTTATGTTCTTTTGCTGCTCATTCAGAAATTTATTATATGTAATCAAAATCATTATTTTTATGTGGTGAGCTGTGCTGGTCCTTATTTTCCCCTTTGTATTAGTGTCAATCAATTTTGAATATATACTGGCGTTACTGTGTTAGTGTTTTAACTTTTACAACATAACATACAATAACATATGTCATTTAGGGTTGGTTTGCAACTCCTTTTAAAAAAGCACTTCTCAACTTTTGGCTTTAAAAAAACACTTATTTTCCCAAACACTACAACTTTTATTTTTCTCGGCTTCCGCGTCAAAAGTGCTTTTACTTTTTCTATTACACAAAAAGCACTTATTTTACCAAACACTACCCACTTTTACTTTTCAAAATCACTTTTTTCTCAAACACTATCAACTTTTATTTAATCACTTCTCCCCATTTCATTAAAAAAGCACTTTTTTAAAAGCAGAAGCTGTTGCAAACAGACCCTTACAATGGTTCAAAGTTCAAAAGAGCACGCTTCACACTAAAACTTCTTACATTATGGCTGATTTATGCTTTATTGGGGTGGTAAAGTAAATGGAGGAGAAAGTTTACATGTATTTATGATATTAGAGAAAATGATAGGAAAGGGAGATAGAGGAGTGAGAGCATCCGCAATGGGCCAATGTTTAGTCTAAATAATTTATGCCAAATGTCAAATAAATAAATGGCTTTCAAATTGACATCATACATAGTGTAGTGACTATGCACTGACATACAAAGAAAGCCTCCAATGCAAAAAATAAGTTAACTTTCCGTGTGTAATTAATGTCATCGTAACCGCTGCACTAAAATTTTGATCTATCGGTTCTTCCATCATCTATATCTAATTCTGTAAAATAAACCATAATTGATTTTACATATATTGTTTTTGACAAAATTTTACACATCTCTTGATTCTTCTTGCGATATTGATGAAGAGAAAAGTATATCAAACCTTGCAAAAAAATAAATGAGAGCAACTTTTTGTTAAATTCTAAGAGACCGTTTGACAATATTGTTTTTCGGATTATCAGACTTATCAGCCAATTTTTCACAAAACACGTAATTTTTACTTTCGCGTGCTGAATAGTGTAATAAGCAGAAAAAGTAAGGTTGGAGTTACTGTTCTGATTGTATTGGATGAAGTTATTGTAGATGACCATTTTAGCTATTTACATATAATTTTTTCTTTATTTTATTTATAAAATGCGGATTATATTTTAAAAATATTTTATTCTTAAATCAGCAGAATCAGCCAATGCAGCCATTTCACCTCGAACTTCATAAATTTCAGCAGAATCAACCAAAAACAACTGATTTTTGTGCTGCCAAACAGGTTCTAAATCACAAAGAATCATCTAAACCATAATTATTACATACTCTATCATTTTTAATTAAATCGGATTCACGGCTGCTACTATATGTAGAATACTACTCTTCAAAATACGAACTAGCCAGTATCAGTGGTGCAAAATGGAATGGAAGCCAGGAGATTTTTCCTCTCCTAATTTCCGAAGAACCGAACGATTTTTTTGAGTCAGCAAGTTATGTTGGCTTTCCACACACGGACTTTCATCTAGACATTGTTTAGTTTTTTTCTTGCCAACTCAGCGAAACCGCTTTTGAGACTATCTGCATTGGAGAGGAAACTAAATACACAGCATCTAAAGTTCTGATGTGGCATCATTTAAATAGACTAGACAGTATCCCATTGTGGATGCTCTGAGAAGTAGAAATGGTGCAGTTAGATGAGAGTGAGATGCGAGTTCCTGCTTATATCCTACTGTGTATTGAGAAATTGAATGTTAACTATCCTATACTGCCTATTGAGAAATGGAACATTAACTTTTTCCTCTCTCTTCTCTTTTATCGTATAGCTTTTTTATGCTCTTTTATCTTTCTTATATTCTTATGTTACCACCCCCGTCCCAATTTGATGGTCTCAATTCCTATTCACTTGGTCAACACAAATCTCTTACTTTATATATCAAAATTTTATCAAATTTGATTCTGGTTTTGCGACTTTGTAAAGTTTTTAATGTAGTTTCTGAATATGTAATTTTTTTTCTAAGAATAATATGAGTGCGGACAAGGATTTGTTTGCTTTATCGTCAGTCAAGCTTCGTAAACCGCAACGAGACTATCATTTTGGGACGGAGGGAATATTTTTTTTAAGGGAATATTCTTATGTTATTGTTATCTTATATTTTTTTATCTTTATTTTATCCGTTTTATCTTACTTTTTTCCCGTCGTGTTCCTCTTCTCTGTTTGGCGTATCATATATCGATTCATGTTAGCCGACCCCGAATGCTTTTAGGATTAAGGCTTGGATGTTGTTGTATTTCTTATTAATGCATGACAAAAAGAATGTTTGGATTGCATTTTCATTAACATCTAAGGAGGGAAGCCCAGTGCACGAAGGTCTCCGCAAGGCAAGGGTCCGGGGAAGGGTCCCGCCGTGCAAGGGTGTATAAGGGGCAAGCCTTCCCTTGTCAATTTTTTTACACGAGGCCGCTCCCAAGACTTGAACCCGTGACCTCTCAGTCACACAGGAACACCTTAACCGTTGTTCCAACTTCCAAGGCTCCCCTTCTGCATCAACATCTAAGATGGATTTTTTTTGCACTGCCTTATTTTCCTTCTACTTTCCACTCATCCAAACATAGATTTTTTGAGCAGATCTGAGTTACTAGTGGGCGGTTTCCCCAGTACCCCCCCACCCACCCACCCCCATCTCCTCATAAGGCTTTGAATTTTATGTTTTGACACTTGGGTGGTTCACTTGTTGTAGAATGCCTTCATCCATCTGCATTGACACCAGGAAGTGTACGTTATTTCAGTGAGGATCTGAGCCATATGCCCAGTATATATGATGAAGAAATCAAGTGTGCTTTTAAAGACTTAATGGCCGCAAGCTGGGATGAGATCCCAGAAGCTGTTATCGACGAAACAAAGAAGGCATTATCCAAAAGTACTGATGACAAGGTTGGCAAGGAGGCATTGGCTAACATTTTCCGTGCAGCAGAGGCCATTGAGGAGTTCATCGGCATCGTAATAAACTTGAAAATGGCAATTGATGATGCTATTGGGTTAAGTGGCGAGGTAACAACTGTCCCCAAAAGAAAAGTATCTTGCTTCTAGATTTTTTTTGTCCTAAAAAAGTCCTATTTCCACAAACAAAGCTATCTTTCATTGAGTGGTTTACAAGAGTTGTACTTAACCACAATTAAGAAGATGATTAGAAGAGTTGTACATGACATAATTAAAAGTTGTACCTTGGTAAAACAAGACTCTTTTTTTGTGGAGATGAAGTAGTTAGTACTATGTATGTATAAGTATGCTGTACGCATTAATATGCAATTGCTTCCTGATCACTCCTATCCGTGACAGAATGTGAAGCCTATGCCAAAACACATGGTGAATGCACTTAATACAATCTTCCAACGTTATAATACATATCTGAATGCCTTCGGGCCGGATGAGGAATATTTAAAGAAGAAAGTTGAAACTGAACTGGGGAGTAGGCTGATATTCTTAAAGATGAGGTGCAGTGGCTTAGAGTCTGATTGGGGAAAGGTACTCTCATTTCACATTTGCAATGTATGCAATATTTAGTTGTATATCTTGTGTTCAGCATTGAAATTCTGAATTTTGAATAGCAGAAGGTAGTTTTCAATGTTAAAAGATTAGCACAAAGGTATTTAGAGCGGGTTTTTAAAGGCATTTCAAGTAAAAATCTTAGGCATTGTTTGCCAAGCTATATCGTAATCAGAAGCATGTATAATTGAATGTTACAGTAAAAATATGCTTGATTACATTATGATTAATCAAGGCGTGTTGCTACTTGCATGTTTTCTAATGGCGATAGGAATCATCATGAATTTCAGCTGTTACAGCATTCTGTTTAAAAAGTAACTAACTAACATTGTTTGCTTTGCAGGTCACAGTTCTCGGGACATCTGGACTTGCTGGTTCTTATGTTGAGCAAAGGGCATAAATCAGCTTCTGTTGACCTAGACTTACGTGTTATTTTAATAATGTCCTTTCAGTTTTTGAGCTAACCGGTTCAATGTAATTTGCTCTGTTGCAACCAGCCCAGCTTCTAGCAAATTGAAGATTTCAGACCTTAAAACAGCTTGCAAATAATAATGAGCGGATTATTTCACACCTGGATGAACCCTTTTGTCAAATATTATTATATGAATAATTTTTTTCCCTAGATGTAGTAGTTCTGGACAGTTTGATATTGATTAAAGAAATGTTCCATTATTTTATGAGGTTGCTCCCCTTTAGTATCGTCCTATCACTTTGTACGAACTACTAAAGGTTCTTCCTTTGCCTCGGGCAGTTTATTCGGATAAGTGAAAGCATATGGCTAAGAGCATCCGCAATGCGGACTGTCCAGTCTAAGAAATATACGCCACCTCAAATCCTCAATACATTAGACTTTTACCCCCTCCAACGCAGGTAGTCTTCATTTGCTTTTGCTGAGTTAAAAAAAAACGATTAGACAGTGTGAAGGAAATTTTCTGAGCGTAAAGCCGTAAACATTATGGTAGACTTGCTGACTGGACAAAATCATTTAAAACAAGCTGTTTCACGAAAAACTATGGGTCTACAAAGAGGCAAAGAGCATTATAAACTATTTGTAACCTAGAAAGCTTCTTTAAAACTGGAGTAGAAGCACATATAAATGATACGTAGTATAACCGTTTAGACACATGAAACTAGAGTCGGTTTGGTACTTTGGTAAGGATGGAATTTGGTCAACATAGTCAAACCAATGTGGGAAGGTAGCCAAAAAACATGCAGTACGTGCGTTTGCTTTTGAGATGCCACTCATTTAGTGATGATAGAGAAAATATTAAATGGTAAAATTGGGCAGTGTTTGAAAATGAAAATGATTTCATAAAGTAGAATTTTGAACATATGCTAAAAGGACAAATTTTGGTGGGATCGGGATTCTCCTTCCCTATCGATCCTGCCGTTGGATGCCGCAAGGCACCTCTGCCGCACGGCAGAGGATCCAAATCCGATTTTGGTGTATCCGAGTGAAATATTACAATAAAAAGTGAATTACATTTTTCTTAGGGATGGGCTAGAACGGATCGGTCCGGGGCCAGGCCCGGTATCTATAAGGCAGGCTTCAGGTTCATTTTTTTGGGTCCGACCCGGCCGGGCCCGGGTCGGTCTCGGGCCCGATTGCACTATTTTTTAAATTTATTGCCCAGTTCCGTCCCGGAGCCCGGCTCGAGCCGGTACTATTTAGGCCGGTCCAGGTACAAAGCCGGGCCGGTACCGGGCCTGAAATTTTTAGGCCCGATCCCGCCCAGTCCCAGCCCGGCCCGACCCGGACACCCGGTCCCGGTCCATCCCTAATTTTTCTGTCTTTCACTTGCTTTCAGCTTTCACTCACTCCCTCCAAAACACTACTTTTTAATGCAATCACAGAAGTGCATTTCAATGAGAAACACTTGGTATTTGATAAAAACCTAACTGATGACTGATGAAAGTGGGGTTTGAAAGGCCAAACGGGCACTAGAAAACTGAAAAAGTCTACACAGTAAACTCGAAATGTGTATAGCTCCATTTTGGTAAATGTAATAAACAAGAGCAAAGTAGTGCACTTGTGAAGAACAAAAGTAAGGTTATCAAATTCACACTAAAAGATTACAGTGTAACTTTCCTATTGACTAAAACATCATCATGGCCCAGAAGTAGAAGCCAGTTTGGAGTCTGGACTTATCAGCAAACGGACCTTGAGAGAGCAAGACCCACAGGGCAGAACAACCGATACTGGTAAATCTTTGGATGCTTCTACTGTGAAGATTTCCCTTCCATCCTTCTTCACCAATGGATATCCCATATTTGCCAAATCCAAAGAATCAATCACATAAAAGTCACCACATCTACAAGGGTAAGAGAGCTCTATAACATCATCACCACCACCACACACTTCCATTTGGAGATCATCAAACCCCAAATCTTCAGCAGATGATGCATCTTGTCTCAGAGAACGCAATTCGTTATCATAAACGGCGCGAGATCTGTGGTCGCTGAGGATTTCCCATGCCTTTTGTATCTCTAAGAATGTTTCCTTAGTCTTGTCATGCTTGGAAGAGGAGAATGCATCTGATGTGTGGTTATTATCATGTAGTTTGTCTGGATGGAAGCTAAGGATGGCAGATCGATAAACTGTTCGAATATGCTCATAGTTTGCGTCCTCCCTAACACCCAAGACGTCATAGTGGGATTTATGAATGGAGTTATTCAATATCATGTTTCAACTGCACACCTATGTAGATTTATGAGTAAATAAATAAAATAGTCCATGAAAAAAGGTTGGAATGAGGAAAACATAAAAGGAAGGTAACCTTAGACTAGTTTGAGATAAATGAAAATAAATCATCATCATCATCATTACCCCAGTGCCGCAAAGGCTCCCACCTACAGTGGGGTAAGGGGGGATCGGATGTACGCAGTCTTACCCCTGTACTAAAGCACAGAGAGACTGTTTCCAAATGACCCATAGTGAAAATCGCGTTGAAAATTGCATAGACTGACTGTTACTTCATAACAAAGAAGCACAGACAGTTTAGTGAGTCATTTTGCTTTATCCCGTCATATTCCCAAGCCAAAAAATAGTGAGTCTTTGGCTCCATTGAAAATGATGGACGTAGAACCTATGTTCGTATTCTTCTTTGTATATGGAAATTCTGGTTGATTAAGCATTTAATGGAAACATGATTTGGAGAACATGAAGAAATATCATTGCACATATACCACTTGCAGTTGAAACTAAAATAGTTAATCCTAAGTTCCAGGGTTCCATTTGGTAGCACTGATCGACTTATTCAGCTTATTAGTAAAATGAGCAGAATAATCAAATGCAAGCTTTTCCTTTCAAAAAATTCATCAGACCATGTCTTGGAGTAAGCCTGCGAGATGCAGTAAATTTGACCAGATTGATAGAATATTAGTGGAAAATTCGCCTTTAGTGTCGGTTAAAATTGCCCTTTAATGTCATTTTTGTACCCGACATTGTATCCGTATTTATTAAAAGTTGAAGCTTTCCGTGACAGGTTTCAGAGCCGTTACCAAGTGTTAGACTTTTTATTAATGGACAGGTCGGAACCCTTACTAATAACAATTCATGTAAATTATATTAGAACCGTATTGCTACTAAAAGTATTACATGTCAGGTTGTTATGACCCATTATGGAAAGTATACGACATCGGTTTAATTTGAACAGTTCATAAATCCATTCTGTTTGGGATTAAATCTAACGGTTTAACCCATGTACATTTATATCATGCATGTTATGTCCATGTGTCCATTGACCAGAAATTTAGAACACTCTTGGTTGAAAAAATAAATAAATAAGTGAATGCATAGTCCCTATCTTTGTTCTTTTTGTATCCTATTTTTTATGTATTCGCCATATTACTTTGAATGGTAATTACTCATAAGCACATATCAGATTATCAGTACTCCAGAATCTATATATGACACATATTTTTGAGAAATTAATTATCCTAACATTCCCCAAGTGATTGGTGGAATTAGTTCTTTCAGCTATTTTCAACAAAAGAGTTGAGGAATTGCTAATTTAGACAATAGCAGTTTGGGAGCTAGCAAAACTATATTGGTTTTCTACACATAAGTAATTTCTCATGATCATTTTTATTGATTCATTTTTACAAACATTCGATAGACATTATAAAAATAAAACCTAAGAATACAATGTTTCACGTTCTGTTTAAAACTCATAGAAATTACACGAACCAAACAATTATTCAAAACTAGAGAAAACTTCATACAGAATAAAAAACGACATGTAATAGAATAATAGATTATTAAATACTACGTATATAATATGTAAAATAATCATACCTGAATAGGATGGAAAAGCCTTTGAAGGAGAAAAGAGTTGGAACACCGACTGAGTTGATGTAGGACCGTCGAGCAGTAATGAAGGAGCGGCCGAGCAGAAAGGCGGAGCGTGGAGGAGCGGAAAGGCGGAGCGGCGGAACCAGCACCGAGATCTTGGAGGGGCACATTAGCACATAAATCATTACTTTATCATCAATATAATACGTAGTAATAAACAAGACAATAAAAATAAAATAAAACAACAAACTAAAGAATACTTTAATTCTGATTAGCAACTCATACGTCAAATGAACTAGAACAACCGGGAGGTGGTAATCTGAAGAACACCCGATGCTCAGCCCTTTACTACCTACTGGAATCGGTGTATAAAATCTTTTCAAAGGAATTCTTTGTCAAATAGCATAGAAAATTAGAAATTAAAGACTAGATTTATAGCAATATGAGTATAATTGTAAAAATAGCATTGTAAAAAACTAAATCAACTAACCCACAATTACAATACAATGAACAGTTTATTAAATAAGAATAATACAGAGAAATAAATGAACTCCACAATAGACTTGTACAAAAATAAATTATAAAATATTAAAATTGAAATAATAATGAATTAAGTCCACAATGAACTTGCACACAAAATTAATACTTTTAATGCATAATAAAGTGAAAAACTTACACAAAATAGGAAAGTGAAGGTCGCCGGGCGACCAAACAGCCAGGTGGACGGAACTCGGAAAATGGGGTGATGGCCCAGAAGAGGCTGTCTTCCTGAATTGCTGGAGTTGCTGCGCAGAAGGGGATGAATCTGTCGATCGGGCAATGCTGCAGGAGTGGGCTCCCAGGCCCCCAAGCCCTATTGTAGATCCGCCGCTGGCGCGGAGCGCGGAGGAGCGGCCGGTGTCGTGTGCTTAGAGGAGCGGAAAGGTTGAGCCCCCTATAATTTACTTTAGGCATATTGACTTTCAATTGAATTGAACAGTACCAAATCAAACTAAATTGAATCAAATCAAACTAAACCAAATCAGAACCGGATCATATATAATGTGATTTCAATTTGGTAGTATTTCTTTTAAATCACATTAATTCGAACAGAACCTAAATCCCCCCAAAAAATGAAGGGGTTTGTCCTCAAATAATACTAATTAAAAGCATTTAGACAAAAAAAAGAGACTTTTCTTTTAAGTTCCAAAAATAAGACTAAATAATACTTAAGGGACTGTTACACCCTAAGTAAGCCCAAACTCACTGGCCTGCTACAGTAACCCGCCACAGTGACCAAATGTGCAGTGACCAATGTTACATTTACCAATGACATAGTTACAAAATCCGCCATTGACCAAAATCCATCAGTGACCAAAAATCCGCCAGTGACCAAAATCCATCAATGACCAAAAAAAGGTTGGAATGGGAGGAGATCGAGATTGCAGACAGGATTAAGAGAGAAGAGAAAGATGAGGGCGCACCTGCGGAGACGGTGATGGCGGCGGCGAAGGCAGGGAGGCGGCGTGAGATGCAGGAGGCGGCTCAGAGGAATGTAGCGTCGAGGTTGGAGGAGCGTAACGTGAACTAGGGCTTCACGATTTTACTGGGCCATTCTTTTCAGAAATTGAAGGGCATTTTAGACAATAAACATCATTTTTAATCAGTTTTTTGTCCCTCCGAGATTTCCTCTTATTTTTGTCTTTTGAATAGCTGTACACCCCGTTTTTGTCATTCTTTCAAAAATGAATCGAACAAAAAAAATCAATAAAATCTTACTACGTATATTATGTTATTAAAAAACAACAAATCCAACCAAACCATGATTTTTGTTTCGTAATAATCATTCCAATCCGTTTCAAACTGATCCGTACCGAATTCGAAAACTGATATGTACAACCCCTAATTTACTTAGTGACGTTTGTAATTACTGTAGTATCTTTACTCTGTATTACTCCCTCTGTCCCTAATAAAACTCACATAGTACAAATCGCACGAAGATTAAGATGGCGAGTCTTGTGTGGTGCAGATGAAAGAAATGTGTAAAAAAATGTCGTGAATCACAATTTTTTACCAAAAAAGAGTGAAAGTTTATTTGGGACGGATGAAAATGAAAAATGGAAGTTTTTCCAGTGATGATGGGAGTAAAATGTATGAGGTTTTAGCAATCAATGGACATTGATTTTTTTAACAGTTATGAAAGTCAACTTTAACTTTGACCAATGATATTTTTTAATACAATACTACATATTTTTTTTAATATGAAAATTATATTAAAATGTTCCTTGTTAAAAATGTTTTCATCAAACTATAGAATTTATAAATTATATACAAGTACTCCCTCCGTTTCGCAAAGAAAGTCACAGTTTGACTTCTCTAGGATTAAGGAAATAAATTGACTTTACTGTAGAAGACACTGTTTGGCACTGTTTAGACTTTGTTTAGGCACTGTTTATATACTGTTTGACACTGTTTGACACTGTTTTGGCACTGTTTTGAAGTAGATTTCTTTGCCAAATAAGGAAATAAGGGAAGTGTGACTTTGTTTTTGAAACATCCAAAAAGGAAAGTGTAACTTTGTTTGTGAAACGGATGAAGTATAATAATTGAAATCATTACCCAAATCGTGTCATCATTGACAAAAAAACCAATATAACAAATTTTTTGAAAACGATGTAGTAATATTTAAAAATTACCTCGTTCATTGATGGAAAACTTTTATCACTTAGAGCATCTCCAATTGTAAAATGTACACGGTGCACACGTGGCATGAAAAATAGCCACATAAATATTAGTAAATAATTCTTTCTCTCCTTATTTGAATTATTTTATACAGTTTTGGTAAGTTTTTCTCCACACTGTCAAAGAGACCGTCTAGATGTTGACATTGTTGTTGACATTGCAGGGAAAAACTTACCAAAATTGTATAAAATCATTCAAATAAGGAGAGAAATAATTTATTTGCTAATATTTATGTGGCTATCACTCATGCCACATGTGCACCGTGGACATTATAGCATTGGAGATGCTCTATTACACTTGGTTCAATGATTTCAATAACATTTAATAATGAACCCATGTTTGTACACGTCAGACGCATTTCTCTTTACAAAACGGAAAAATATTTATACACATGCAAAATTAGGGATGGGATTGGTCCGGTCTGAGTCGGGTTTTTCTAAACCCGGAAATTAGCCTGAAGGTCTCGGGTTATGAAAATTAAGAACCGGAACAAAGCCCATTATATTCGGTCTGAGTCGGGTTTTTGATAGATCGATTTCGGTCTGTGTTCGGGTTGGGCCGGTTAAAGCCCGAATGTGAAATCATATCATTGTCTTTTTATATTTTAAATCCCAATTTTAAATAAAATTAATCAAAAACACAAACTGCAAATAATAACACAAATATTAGTCTCCAAAATCACCAACAATTCAAATCCAAAGAAGATAATTATCTTAATATTATGTTTAAGATGCATATAAATAAATAATATAGGTTTTCTAAAAATATTACGAAATAAAACTTATAGATAAAAAGTGACTAAATTTACTATAAATATATTTTCATGGTCATTACGGTAAACAAATTGAACATATTTTTAGTCAGTAAAAGTTACTAGGTCATGTTTTCATGGAATTACAAGGTTCGCACACATCATTTGTCTACGTAGACACAATTGTCTGTATATAAAAAATTCTTTCCGAAATTACAAAACTGTCTATATACAAACAACTCTGCCAACATAGACGCACAATTTGTGCGAATGATGTACATTAAACATTTTAAATCCATTTTATAGTCGAACCTTACTTATTCCACTTGACTTGCAAAATTAACTATCCATGGCATTTAAATGTATTCAAAATTCTATACAACTCATACTACCTCCGTCCCCTAAGTTTGGGACAAAGTGGTGTGGTGGAATTTTTAAGAAAAAAGTAGAATTGTTTGGTTGGTATTAAATTGATAAAATGTGAATAAAGTAAGAATGAATTTTAACCATTCAAATATTACCAAATGTGGTATATGATAAACTTAATGGGACAGACGAAAAGGTAAAACAAGACAAAGTTAGGAGGACCGAGGGAGTAATATATTCAAATGTATCATGTGTGAAACGAGATACTTTAAATTAGTATTTATTTGACTTGATGCAAAATGAATATTGTACAATATACATATTCAAATACGAATGGGTTAGAAACTTAGAGCCCGTTTGGAGAACTCTGTTTTCGGCTTATCAGGCTTCTCAGCCAGCTTTTTCACCAAACACGTAACTTTTACTTTCGCGCGCTGAATTGTGTAATAAGCCGAAAAAGTAAGGTTGGAGTTACTTTTCTGGCTGTATTGGCTGAAGTTACTGTAGAGGACCATTTTAGCTATTTTTACATATAATTTTTTCTTTAATTTATTAATAAAATATATTTTTAAAATATTTTTTTCTTAAATCAGCAGAATCAGCCAAAACAGCCACTCCAGCCAGAATATCATAAATTTCAGCAGAATCAGCCAAAACAGCCGATTTTGGTGCTACCAAACGGGCTCTTAGAATGAAAGTAAACTAAACGAATTAAATATGATCATGATAAAATTGAGAATGCAATATGACCATTTTTTGAGTTTTTTTAGAGAACCCGTAAAAAGAAGTTGAGGAAGTTCAAATCTAAAAAATTCCGATCTTGTAATGGTTATCTGGAAAGTGAAGTGAAAAGATTGGAATATAGAATATCGGGCCAGGATATTTGGAATTGTGGCGTTTTAATTAATACTTTTTTCAGTCTTATTCGTGCGTGTGCTCCAGATATTTTATGATTTCCTGATTGAAATCATAGGAGGTAAACTGAAAATTGCCGCAAGATCAAACGCAGACAATGGAGCGAACCCGAGTATGAAAGTCAGAATCTTTTGATGAAGAGCGTATGTGATTCCGGTGGAGAGGGATTGAGATTGGAGGGTTTGAATAAATCCTGAGAAGATGAATGCGGTGGGGAGGATAGGCAGCTATATTACTAAAAGCGTATACACTGTCTCTACACCCTTCCACCCGTTCGGCGGTGCTGTAGATATAATTGTGGTGGAGCAACCAGATGGGAGTTTCAAATCCTCTCCTTGGTATGTCCGTTTTGGGAAATTTCAGGGGGTTCTGAAGGCGAAAGAGAAGCTGGTTAAAATCTGTGTCAATGGTGTGGAAATGGGTTTCCATATGTATCTTGAAAATGATGGGCAAGCCTGTTTTCTGAGGGAGGTGGATGGAGATGAGGCATCTTGTGGAGGTGGTGGTGATGATGACACAACAAATGTACTGTCCAATAATAATACTAGGTTGTCTGTGAAGTCCAAAAGCTGTGATTTTGTTGGTATGGAATCGATTTCAGCTGCCAAGATTGGTATGGGGGATGGTAATGTAGTGGTTAGGGAAAAGCCACACCGGTCTGGGATTTTGGGATATGTTTTCGGAAGGAAAGCAACAAAAGAAGGCGGAGACGAAAAGGGTAGTGATGCAAGAAATGATGACAAATCTTTGGAGCATTCTGCGGAGATTGCTTCTGATCTTTTGGAGGTAAAATGGTCTACCAATCTAGACTCCCCCAAATTCCTTAAAGATAGTAATAATAATGCACCAGAGGAAAGTAGTGATTTGAAAGGTGACTCGAAAAATGAAGATGGTGATGATAAGAGTGCTTCCATTGGTGATAAAAGTGCAGATAGTTCACTCTCTAGCCCGCAGTGTATTGGGGACATAAATTCTAATATTAATTTAATGTCATGCACATGCTCCCATGATCAAGAGAACCCTGAAGCTGAAGTGAGTTCAATTGTTGAAGTAGAATCTCAGACCGTCCTTTGCATTTCAAGTATCAGTAGTGCAACATGCAAAGCACATAGTACAAAAGATGGCAAAAGTAGCCCATGTCAGAGTCCACCTGAAGCTAATCCTGTTTTTTCCTTCGAAAGTTCTGTTACATCAGTGAGCTCATCAGAG